AACTCAAGCAACAAGGAGCAAAAGTCCTTACTGATGCGAGACCAGTGAAGTCATACAGGAAACAATTACTTCAACTTATTTGTGTGTTTGTTTGCTGTTGTGAAACTGTAAGTAAAGAGTGGAAGGTGGATCTAGCTGAGAATCTGCACGTTTTCTGAGCAATGTCTTGTGATTGACATGTCATTAGCTAAAAACTATGAACTAGTTACCACTCTTTCCTGATGCCTGAGTGTAATATACAAAGAGAACCTAATATTTTGTTCAATATGACAACAAACCATTGAGCGGTGAACACATCAGAAAAATGCTTGCTTGATCTTGTCACATGGTCATTGGTCATTTTACCATACACTCCTTTTTGACTTGACCAGTAGTCTTTTCACAATCACAAGGGTATTTAGCAATGACCCTGGTGAAGGCCACAGGGGGAAATGTGTTGGTCACGCATTAAAACTGGTTCCTAATACTTTAAGTTTCACTGGAGTCTTCATGTCATTAGATCTTTGTCTTCGCCATGAACCTTGAAAGTTGTTCCAGAAAGGTTTGTTGCTATTTTAATGTAAAGAACATCGTTATTTCTGTTGCAGCAGCTGTTATAAATGCAAAACTAAAATGCAAGATTCTTTTGAGTAATTAACTTTTTGCAGGAATATCTGTAATTATATGTGCAGACTCTGCTGACTGTTCAAAGCAATGCAGTGGCATTTATCTAGTTCTCATCCTGTTACAGCAACATCGATTACTGCCTATAAAAGCAATAAATAAATAAATAAAAGCAACCAGCATATGTCTGCTAACCTAACCCTGCTCTCCACATATGCTTTGATTAGGTCAGCAGCCTCTGCTGTTCTGACGGTTATTGTTACCTGAGACGTTTCTGTCCAGTGTTCATTAAAGCTGGATTTTTAAAAATTATTTATATAGAAGAAGCAGTAAATAAAAATGGTTAAACACACAGTTTCACTCTCTAACTGCTCCTCTTCCTGGAGTGAAGCACAGCCTGATAACCTCCCTCTTCTTCCTGCTCTTAAACACAGCACCTCCTCTCTGTCCACGTGTTTCCTCGTTCCCTCCCCTCAGATCTGCACTTTGAAGATGGGTGTAACCAACATGTGGTGACATGTAAGAGCTGACAGGCTCCATTCACTGCAGAAACATGTTGTTGAGATCAGAGCTCAGACTAGTTTCAGTTATAAGGAAGTGAAACTCACACAGTCACTGACACTGAGAGGAGAAATGGCGCAGAAAGGAGTTCAGCTGGACCGAGAAACCTTCTCTTGTTCCATCTGTTTGGATCTACTGAAGGATCCGGTGACTACAGCCTGTGGACACAGCTACTGCAGGAACTGTATTAAAAGTTTCTGGGATGAAGAGGACAGGAAGGGAATCCACAGCTGCCCTCAGTGCAGGAAGACTTTCATACCGAGGCCTGTCCTGGAGAAAAACGTCATGTTTGCAGCTTTAGTGGAGCAGCTGAAGAAGACTGGACTCCAAGCTGCTCCAGCTGATCACTGCTATGCTGGACCTGAAGATGTGGCCTGTGATGTCTGCACTGGGAGGAAGCGGAAAGCCATCAAGTCCTGTCTGGTGTGTCTGATCTCCTACTGTGAGAAACACATACAGCTTCATCTGGAGTCTCCTGCCTTTGAAAAACACAAGCTGGTGGCCCCCTCCAAGAAGCTCCAGGACAACATCTGCTCTCGTCATGATGAGGTAATGAAGATTTTCTGTCGTACTGATCAGCAGAGTATCTGTTATCTCTGCACATGGATGAACATAAAGGCCATGAAACAGTCCCAGCTGCAGCAGAAAGGACTGAGAAGCAGAAGGAGCTCGAGGTGAGACGACTAAACATCCAGCAGAGAATCCAGGAGCGAGAGAAAGATGTGAAGCTGCTTCAACAGGAGGTGGAGGCCATCAATGGCTCTGCTGATAAAGCAGTGGAGGACAGTGAGAAGATGTTCACTGAGCTGATCCGTCTCCTCCAGAAAAGAAGCTCTGATGTGAAGCAGCAGGTCAGATCCCAGCAGGAAACTGAAGTGAGTCGAGTCAAAGAGCTTCAGGAGAAGCTGGAGCAGGAGATCGCTGAGCTGAAGAGGAAAGACGGCGAGCTGGAGCAGCTCTCACACACAGAGGATCACAACCAGTTTCTACACAACTACCCCTCACTGTCAGCACTCAGTGAGTCTACACACTCATCCAGCATCAATATTCGTCCTCTGAGCTACTTTGAGGATGTGACAGCAGCTGTGTCAGAGACCAGAGATAAACTACAGGACATTCTGAGAGAGGAATGGACAAACATCTCACTGACAGTCACTGAAGTGGATGTTTTACTGTCACCAGCAGAGCCAAAGACCAGAGCTGGATTCTTAAAATATTCACGTGAAATCACACTGGATCCAAACACAGAAAACAGATATCTGTTATTATCTGAGGGGAACAGAAAAGTAACATTTATGAAACAACAACAGTCTTATTCTGATCATCCAGACAGATTCACTGTATATTATCAGGTCCTGAGTAGAGAGAGTCTGACTGGACGTTGTTACTGGGAGGTGGAGTGGAGAGGGGGAGGAGTTGGTGTAGCAGTGGCATACAAGAATATCAGCAGAGCAGGGGGGGGCGATGAATGTGTATTTGGATTCAATAACAAATCTTGGGCATTATATTGGTACACAGACAATAATAAATTTCGCCATAACAATGTCCAAACTCACCTCTCAGGTCCTCGGTCCTCCAGAGTAGGAGTGTACCTGGATCACAGAGCAGGTATTCTGTCTTTCTACAGCGTCTCTGAAACCATGACTCTCCTCCACAGAGTCCAGACCACATTCACTCAGCCGCTCTATGCTGGACTTGGTCTTTGGAAAAATGGAGCCACTGCAGAGTTGATTAAAGTCAAACAGAGAAGACAGGTTCATGTTGATCCCTGACCATTATATGTACTTGTGTAGTTTCTAAATGAGGCTTTACATTTTAGAAGCTGAGAAGTTCAGTGGTCCATTGATGTGTGAAAATAATATTGCACTGATTCAAACTGTACTTACATTTATATACCTTACATCAATATAAATCTGAATGTGTTCTTATGGCTGATAATCATGTGAGTTTAAATGATACTACTCTTCATATTCAGCATGTTTGAAATCTGTCATCAGTCTGGTTAGTGGTTTTATTCTGTAGTTGCTGTAGTGGGTTGTCAAATGCAACAATATATTGGAGCTGCAGTGATTCATCAGTTAGTCAATGATTAGAGAATTTATTGTTTTATCATTATTTTAGTCACATTTAAAGCTGGTTCCAGTTTCTGAAATGTGAAGATTGTTGATTTTCTTGATCATATATGACTGTAAACTTAATGTCTTTGAGCTTTGAACTTTTAAAATGCAACAAAAAATTAATCCTTGAGGTTTTTGATATTATATTATCATTATTATTATTATTATTATTATTGTATCTACAGTGATGACATTTAATGTCTTTTTGAGATGAAAAGCTTGATCACACTCACTTATTTATACATCTAAATATAAAAAACCAAATCAGTGTTCCCCAACCCCCGGGCCCCAGACAGACCAGGCAGCAAGAGAAGAAAAGATTTTTTTGTACCGATACTGGTTTTATTTTGTTGTATTTATCAACAACACCTTAATAGCCGGTCGGTGACACACAAAAAGGTTGGGGACTGTTGAACTAAATAACACAGGCCTGTATGTTGTGGAGGATTGACATGTTTCTTGCCCTGAGCTGTGTCTGGCAGGCAGAGCGTCTCCACAAATCTGATGCTTCTGATTTGGAGAAAATGAGCTGAGGGAGACACCTGGTGGACAAACACAGACATGACAGGAAGAAAGACTAAAGTGCAGAGTGGAGACAAACAGCTGGAAATACTTGTTGGAAAGGATTGTCATGCTTCAGACAAACACACAGCACACACTCTAACAGTCCTTTATTTGCACTGAAGGAGACACGTGAAGAAACCAAATCACACAATAATGAAGTGAACACATTTATAGTCAGTGTTCAAGATGGTGGATAGAAATGAGAATCATGAAGCATTTGTTCACTTTTAGGTCTGTTTCTTACAGCAGAAGCAGCATTTACATGAACTCACTGGCCTTTTTCCACTGAACGCTCTCTTCTTCATCACCTCATCTTCCTCTTCTGACTGATGCTGAGCTCCAACCCTTTTTACTTCCTGGAGATGATTCATACTCACAGAAATTTCACTCATGACACAGAAATTGTTCCGCTTTTCTGCATTTATTAGTCTTTTTATTAGGAACCTCTGTTGATTTTATATGTAAAGCATTTTTCTTCTATCATGAACCTTTTAAGGGTTTTCTCTTAGTAGTTTTGGGGAGTTTTTAATTAGATTTACAGCTTCAGAATAACTTTGTGATGTCAGATTAGAAAGTCTGTGTCCAACCCTGGTGTTTGATCAGCTGTTTGATCCCTGCTGGGCTGGATTTTTTATATGAATGTTGAATTTGTTGTTTTGGAACTGAGTTAGATTTTTATTGATGGATGATTCATTGTAAAAAGTGGATCTACCAACAGTTTATTTCTTTGTTATTAACCAGCAAGTAGACTTTTCCCCAGAAACAGAGTTTTGATTAGTGGAACTGACAAACAGTTTGAGGCTGATTTGGCTGATATGGGTGAATATTGAGCAGATAATGATGATGTGAGACACTTACTGACATGTACAGATGGATTTTCCAAGTATGCATGCAGGTGTCTTCAAACCAAGGCAGCAGCATCTGTTGCATCTGCTTTTCAGGATGTTCTGAGTGAAGGATGTGTACCTGTTAAACTTCAAATAGATGAAGGCGAGGAGTTTAATAATAAACATTTCCATCAGCTGATGGTTCAGTTTAACATCACACATTGATTAAACAAGTTTTGTGGAATGTTTTAACAGAAGCTTTAAGGACCGTATGTGAAAATACTTCACATCTATTAACTCATGAAGACGTGTAAACGTGGTCCAGGACCTTGTGCTGTCAAGGCCAAGCAGCCGGTGTAAAGAGGTTGGAGCCAAAAGCTGACTCAGTACATGTTTGTTTGATTTGAATGAAAACTTGATTTATAGCAGGGATCATGAAGGTCGAGGCGAGACATGGAGGGAATGACATGGGAGCAGGACTCACTCACTATTAAATGCTGAAGCAAAGCTACAGAGAGGGGCGTTTCTCCAGGATTGCGGTGGAGTGAGGAAAGAACAACATGTCTGAGGTGAGTTTCTGGACTCACACTACGAAAAAGGCTCTATTTTTTGTTGCCTACATCGTAGAAGGTCACTTTGTCTCTAAACAGGAAAATGAGCAGTCAGGGGTTAAAGTGGATTCAGCAGGTGGAGGAACCCTAAAATCAGTTGCAACAGCTCAGTGTGGGGAAAACATTCACGACTCAGTATAATTACTGCTGAGAGCTCCAGTAGATTTTCTGAATGGACAGGCTGTGATCAGCTGACCTGCTGCTCTTTGTGGATTTACACAAGTGAATTCAACCAGATGTCAGCAGATGTTTTATGAGTTGAACTGCTTTCCATCCTCTACACTGACAGTAAACTGTTTATGCTCTTTTTATTAGACACTATTCAGCTGGTATGAAGGTGAAATTCAGTGAATCTTAACTGCAAATTCATCTCTGCTACACTTGATGTAATCAAACTCTGAGCATGAAACCACAGCCACTGTGCAGCAGTCACACACTGTTCTGCAGCAAACTAACCTGTTTATCCTGCACTAACCTGCAACCTTTAAATAGCACAGTAGTCCTCAGTTTGTTTAGCAGCACGTTTCAGGATATGAAAAAACATAATGTCACATGTACAGAACCAATATCTGATTTAAAAACATGAAGACTTACATGTGAGCTTTACAATCAGTCGTTGGGCCAAAAGCAAGAAAAAGGAAACACTTTAAGCCCTGACTATGACACATAGTTTTGCCACTTTTATTTCTTTTTCTGTGATATTGCTGGTGATTAATACACCAACAGGAATGAATTTCATGTGTTACTGTTTAATCTCAAAGCAGTTTGATTTGAGGCTCGCAGTGACAAAATAATAACTCCCCTTAAAGGTGTTAAACCTAAAGTAATGAAGGTCTCCTAAAGGTCTCTTGCATTAGACTCTTGCTATTTCTGTGCCTTCATTCTAATGTGTACACTCTGTGTTTAGTTCCCCTGGACGTGGCCCTGTTTTCCCGGAGCAGATCCTTAGTTTTGAATGATTGGAGAGTGGCTATAGCGAGCAGTGAGTGAGCGAAGAGAAGCTTTCCCTGTCCTCCCCACCTTGGATTTCCTGGAGCCTGGACCCCGTCACACTTGTATATAGCACAATTCCCTGCACTGTCTGTACACATACCTGGTGTAATAAACTATTTCTCCTCAAAGTGAAGAGTCCTGCATGTGAGTCCTCAGTGAACGGTGACATCATTACAGTAACAAAGTATTTGTACTTCATTACTTCCTTCCTCATGCTGTAACCCTCGATTTCATTTGGTGTGTTTTTTTGATGAGATGCAGCTTTCCACACCATCTTTTCACCTATTGCTGATCACCACACTGTGTTTGTGTGCTAAAAGAGAAATCATTTCCTGCATGGAGACTAAACGGAAGCACAATTACATTAACTCAGAGGGTACAGCAACTGTTGCAGTTTGTCTTGAAACAACTGTAATCTCCACATCTGGACTTTTTTCTCAATTGAATTACGATTTTAATCTCAAAATTGAAACTTTATTTTCAATGTTATCTATAATAGTTTCTCTTAATGTGGCCGTAATACTCATTCATACATTCTCATACCATTCATGCCAGCAAACTGAAATTGGAAAAAAAGATGTAAGCAAAAAAAACACAAAGATGTAGGTTTCAAAACTTAGTTAATAATAGAAAACAAAAATTTATTCGCACATTTTACGGTTTCAATTCACCTTTTTTTCAGTTTCATTTTCCCCCTTTCGATACAACATTTTCGTGTTAATTATTCTCAGTTTCATTTTAAGGTGGCATCATTTTAACCCCACGCACACACAGAGGGTCCATAACACTCACATTTCCAGAGTGTAACAACCAACCACCTGTGTGACATCTGAAATGCCCATGGTGTTGATTCTATAATATATATTTAGCTAAAATCTACACATTTATTTGGGGGAAAAATGTTATCTGGCTGTGGTTCTAAAGATCTGTGATCTTTACGTGTTCACTGACACCTGATTTATGCATACACAGTTATTGTGGTTCATTTCATTATGTCTTGGATTTGTCTGAATGTTGTGCCTGCTCCTTTATCAGTCTTTGCTTCCTGCATGTACAGCTTATGTGATTATTGACTAGGAGGGTTTGCAGTTTCATCAAAACACGAGTTGTTTGTTGCTTTCATTATGACTTGGCTGACTATGGCTGCTTACACATTGCAGACTCAGACTATTACACTAATACGCTATTATTGAGCCTAGATAGCTCAGTCGCTAGAGCATCAGCCTTTTATTCTAAGGGTCCAGGGTTCAAGTCCCTGTTTGGGGGCCGATCTTTACTGAATTTCGCAGAGGAACCCACCTGAGAGATTAATAAAGTTTTATCTTATCTTATGTAATGTAGGGGGGAAATTCTTATAGTGAGAAATATTTGACATGATTGCCAAGTTGTCAAAGCACCGTGTCGGGTCTTTGAAAACTGTAATGCCCTTTCAGCTTCCTGCTGGACTAAACATGCCTTGTTGTTTCTTTCAAATCTGTCTAAACACATGCATGTTGTATTAGTTGATGAATTCAAATGGAAAATGGTGCTTTTGCCACTGAAGTCTGAATATGTGCCACTGACAATGCAGTACTAGTTGACTTCTTTTTGCTTGCCCCCCAGTATGCTATGCTTTGCAGTTGTTGATTTTCGGGTGGAGGTGGATCCAAAATTATTTGCAATTGGTTTACAGGACTGGTGAAGGACTCTTGTTTCTGGTCACCAGGGAGAGTCCGTATCACAAAGGCTGTGAAGGATGCAGCTGCTCTAGATCAGAGGTGCCAAACAGGGTAAGCATTTATTGAAAACACTAAAACAATGTTTTTTGAACATAAATATGAATAAACACAGACAGGAATATTGTTTCAGAATAAATAGACTTAGAATAAAGAATAACTTCTAATAACCGTCATAAGTGTTCAAACATGTCTTTTCCTGTCGTTGCATTGATTTAATGTCCAATATTTCCTCTGAAACGGGCATATTGGAGTTCAGTTCATGGATGAAGATGGCCAGCTGTGTAATGTCCATCATGTCTGTACTTTTATCCACAGCAAGACAGTATGCTATAAAGTATTTGCTTCTTTCACACGACTGTGTTCTTAAATCAGTGGTCATCTCACAAACCCGACCGTATTTCTACTCAAGCTCACATTTGCCAATATCTGGGTTACCGTTACAGTTAACCCTAACACTAGCTCTTCTACTTTCTGTATGAGAACTGTGACTACATGGAAGGAGGTAACACAGACGATCCGACAAAGAAAGGCACACAGACTAAGTACACACAAAGGAGATTAGGGAAAGTGGAAACACATGAGGAAACAGCTGACACCACAGGGAAAGTGACACTAAAACACGCACACACACAGCAAGCTTGACGAACCAACAAGGGAGACTTAAACACAAGCATACTGAAAGTAAAAGACAGACCGCATAATGCTGTGAACAAGAACAGACAAGGGCATAGAAGAAAATCTAAACCATGATGAAACTCAGCTAAAACCTAAATGATGATCAACACCAGAACTTAACATATGTTCATTATCATGTGAGAGAAGAAAAAACTATAAAAACAAATCAAAAAGATGGGTCGCAGACCCAGACCCTGACACAGAACAGAAACTGGACTTGATTGACACTCTGAATTATTGAATCTGTAGCTTTTGTCTCATTAGCGCTTCATTTTGCCGATCCATGAATAACAATATGAATGAATGAATCTATATAAAAAGGATCTTGCAGGCATATAAATGTACGCTGGGCTGGATGTGGCCCACGGGCCTCGAGTTTGACACGTATCCTCTAGATACTGAACAACTACAGAAAACTACATTTCTCCTGTGGCCTGCAGGTTCTGCATCTCACCGTCTGAAATACACAACGTAAACATCACTTTAATACTTTTTGCTTGTTAGAATAATGAACTACAGAAAGACGTCATCTTACCTAATAACTGCTGAGCACTGTTTGACTGGGACACAATGGGCACCTCTGCAGTCGACTCTGAATCTATATAGAAATGATCTCGCGGGCCGGATATAAATATACGTTGGGCCAGATGTGGCCCGCAGGCCTCGGGTTTGACACACATGATGTAGATTGATGGGTTTGTAAACGAGATAATGAAAGATTATATTAGGTAAACCTGTACAACTGCTCACCGATGCAAATATTTAATTAGCCAATCACATAGCAGTAGCTCCACGCATTTATGGACGTAGAGATGGAAAAGAAGTTTAACAGGTTTGGTTGTTGGTATTACACAGGCTGCTGTGAGTATTTCAGAAACTACTGGGATTTTCTACACACAGCCATCTGTAGGGGTTACAGAGAAGGTTTTAGACTTGACAAATATTCAGAGAACAGCAGTAACGCCTGAAAGCACAATTCTTATTACAGTGTTTAAAGAAATCAAAGATACTTGTAAAGGTTTTTTTTAACTCTAATAACACATTCAAGATGAACACGTTGGCAGTGATGTTGCCAGAGACGTTTTCCTCTACACAAATCACTACAGTTACTTTAGCTTCAGCGTTGTTACATCACTACAGAAAACCTAGAAGCAAAAACACATTTGTGCTTGTTTCTTGGACTCTAAGAACTATAAAAATGGATGATTTTGAGATTGATGATGGTCTCGACTGCTTTAGTTTCTCAGTTTTAAATATGATACAAGACCAGAATTAATGAGAGGTGCAGACACACAGACGTTCTGCTCAAGATTAGATACAAAATGCAGCTGTAAGAATAGGAAATGTGGATATAGTTTCAAATGTTCTTGGTTTTAAAGTGAATGTTTCCAGACATTCATCCACTTGAAGCCAGATATTTCAGTCTATTTCAATTAAAACATTGTCTTCTGGCAGGAAAAAGTGCAATACAGTCTTTGAATGAAGTGCGCAGAGTGACTGAGGAACAATACTTTATTAATTAGTAGGGAAACATTACATACATACATAAATAAAGACAGATAAACATAAAAATGTCCTCATATGAAAACACAACTTGAATTTTCCAAGTCAGACAGAAAGTGTCTGTTTTTAATCAGAGTTATAAATATCTCCTTGTATCTCCACTGATCGTGTTTTTTAAAAAAGACACCACCGCTCTCAAAGATTAGTTATGTCAGGCTTTATAAAAACACAATTAGTAATATTATTATTTCTATAGAAGTCCAGCCTGGATTAAAGAGATTCTGCAGCACGGTTCGTGCAGTTAAAGGTGCTTGTGAATCGAAAAGGTCATTCAGTCACATGACCTTTAAAAACTGCAGAATTTTCAGGATACTCCAAAGATGTACATCTTTATAGCTGCAGATATTTCTCTTTCAAAAAGGAAAAAAGTACCACAGGAATAACTCAAAGGGAGTACAAATAAAATGAAATTAGATTTTATTCACTCCGTTTTTTAGCTCCCCTCCTTTTCAATTCAGTGTTTAACTTTGCAGTTTGTATGTTGGTTGTAATAGTTTCTTTCATACAATACGGCGTACCCCTTACTCTCATAGTAGGAGCCTTTAGTCTGTGGATTAACAGACAGACTGACTCAAGTGTCTGTAGGCCTAATAGGAGAGATCAAGTCATGGCTACGGCCACCAAATTATTCAGAACTGCTAGTGTTAGTGTGGTTTTGACTGAAAGCTTGTTAGCAATCACGTCACAGGCTGTAGTCATTTCCCGACTCATCCAGAGATCTCAGAGCTTCACTCTGACCAAAACAAAAAGGTCTGTGATTTCTGATAAGACATCGGCTTTCCTGAGGTCGTGAGGAGAGGTCATTATTGTCATTAATCTTGGAATGTACTCTCAATTAATAGATTTAGAAAGAATACAAATATACCTTGAAAACAAGTTGTTTTTCCCCTCTGTGGTTGTTTAAAGTGCATTACAAGGACAATATAGTACAAAGAAAACGTAGTGAACTTTTCAGCTCCGCTGCACTTAAACCTTATAATAACAAACAAACAAGATTTAAATCCATACGAGACAATCTCATTGTATCTTCCTTTGTTACTCAAATTAAACTTGAACATTTTAAAAGGTATCTACATTTCATAATGGAGTGTATCTCCTGACTTTCCTGAAGGAGAGTGATTAGGAAAAATCCTCAAAACAAAACAACCAAGAGTTTATCTCCAGCGCGGCCTTGTGGGCAAGACCGAGTCCTGAGAATGAGCGGACTTGTCACTGTCACTGTCATTCCGTCTGTGGCCTTTAGGGGGAGCCAGCAAGTCGTGGCGCGATGCACGAGGAGATGATTTGACGCTCTGAGACTTCCTCTGTGAGGAGGGGGAGAGTTTTTGGACATCTGAGGATCTTGCTGACGCATGGACTCTTAGTGATCTTGATCGCGTAATAGGCAAGGAGGTGCTGGATGGGGTAACAGGGGAGGTCGTCTTGGAAGAAGGTTTGGGGAGGGGTCTGACCCAATGTTGGGGGAGTGGGAAGCAGCAGGAACAGCAAGGTTGGTGTGAGTACGTCTGAAAGAAGAAGAGGCTGTGCTCCGTGCAAAACCCGGAAACACAGATGATGAAGAGCTAGTGGCTTTGCGCAAAGGAGTGGCAGGAGCACTGACGCTGCCTCCGCTCCACTTCTTCCACCCTGAGAGAGTGCCCGCAGTGTGGAGCGACAGATCTTCTCCTCCTGCTGGGCTTTAGGTTTCATTAAGGGCTTTTGGCTGGACATCTTTCCTTGAAAGTCCTTGTTCTGTTCTCGGGCAGATGGCTGAGTACCTGAAACATTCTGGTTCTTTGAGTCCTTTGGATCCAAAGTCTTGGGGATCCCAGATTGTCGGGATGAAGGAGCATTTGCAGGCCTCGCTACTCGTCGAGGGGAAGCACTGCTTCATTTTGAGGGAGTCAGACTGGTGGGCACTGCAGTGCTGGAGGAGCCTCGATTCTTCTCTGTATGTTTGATTCTGGATGGACTTCTGTTGGTCCTGGATATTGGCACAACCCTCCTCATGTCCTTGTTCTCGGAGGTTGTGAGGGTCCGGATAGATTTGGATTTGCCAGATGCAGAGATAGTGTTTGGGGTAGGTTTCTTCCCATTAGTTTGGACTTTAGACGTAGGAAGGCTCTTGCTGGGTAGTTTAGATGGAGTTGCTGGTTCTGCTTTTACTTTGGTGGAAGAAGCTGCTTTTGCAGTTTTACTGGTTGAGTCTTTAGAAGCCATGTTGTTTTTGCTTTTCTCTTCTGTTGATTGTTTTGAGACGGTCACTCCATCACTGTTCCTGTTGGTGGACACTTCTTCCTCTTCCTCCAGTTCTTTATCTTTCTCAGAAGCATCTGCTGTGAGAGCAGGCACTACATTAGGTGTTGGAGGTTCTTTCGGGCGCCACACAGAGGAAGAAACAAGCAGTGATGTGTCATCACAGCGGGGGACAGGCACTGGTTGGCTGCTGATGGGTACAGGCACTGGTTTTTCATTGGCCGGTTGAGGTTCTGAAGGCATGTCATTGGCTAAAGCAGAGGAAGTTAGTTTGTTTCCTCCTTGGTTGTCACCCTTATGCTGATCTTTTTCAGTTTCTGCATAGGTGCTTTGTGTGTCACTTGTAGCCTCGCACACACCCGTCACACACCATACAACCACCTTATCCTCTTGCCCCTCATCGCCCTCTCTTGGTGTTGAAGAAGAGCTGAGCTCACAGACTTGCTCATCAGATTGTTTTGGATTTACAATCAGTTGGCCATTATTCTGCACCTTATCAACTTGCAATTCATCCCCTTTCTCTTCTTCCAAATCTGTGATTGTCAAATCATCTTGATGAAGACCGACATGTCTGTTTTCGCTATGACTTGTGAGGGTGTCGCCACTGCCAAACACTTTTAGCTCAGGAACCAACGTGCATTTGTCTAAAACCACCACCATGTTTCCTGTAGCAGTGGTGCTCTGCTGAAAGCTCTTATCAGTGCAGTCAGTCTGCTGAGTTAAAACCAGTTCAACATCTTTTGGTTTGCTTGTTGTAAGTGTTGCATGGCTGCTTAAACCCATGCCAGGTTGATCACTGCTGCTTTTGTTGTTGTGTTCAGATTGCTGGTTTGAGTCAGAGGTAGGTTTGACTGCAAGTTCATTTGCAGGATTAGTGGCATTTGCACACGTCTGGGTAGCATTTTGGCTGAGGTAAGTGGCAGTTGCATGGTTTTTGTTTTTTGGACTCCTTTTGGAAGGTGATGAGGAGTTTTGTGGTGCCGTTTGGGTGGACACTGGGAATCCTGGACTTGAGGGAGATGGAAAACTGCTCCCTTTGCCTCTTTGCTGAATGTTTTTGCGATCAGTCGCCTTTTCCAGGAAAGTGCTTAGTTCCTGCTCAGCAGCAATAGATGGTGAGCAGGATGGAGACTTTCGGGAACGACGTAAGCTCACAGCACGTCCCAGAGGACTGTGGGAGTTGTTCACTGGTGAGCGAGGGTGGGACCTAGGGGTCAGGAGCTCCATCAACAGTCCGGCCTCGTCATGCCGCGACAAAGCAGTGGACATGTCAAGCTCACTGTGGCAGCGCAGCCCAAAGACTCCATCCACCTATAACGGGAACAGAGAGTGGATCATCGTTAGACATCTTTGATTGATTTTGTTTTACAGTGTCTGCGTACGTCATCCTACCTTTTCTCCTCCAGCCCAGGAGTGCCTCTTCTTCTCCTCCAACTCTTGTATCCGCTGACGACGAGCCGCCTCCTTCGCCTCCCTCTCCATGTTCTCCTTCAAAAAGAGAAAGAGAAGTTATTTTCCTGATGCACGTGACTCTTCTGGTCCTCCATAGCCTACAGATATTATGCATGTTGAAAAAAAATTCAGATCCTGATGGACAAATCAAAGCAAACAAATCAAAAAAATAAAACAAACTGTGAACCCTTGGGCCTTAAATACAACATCTCCTCTTATGCCTGATTTATGGTCTGGTATTTGTGTCTCTGTCAACAGCTCATCGTGAGAGAAGGGTTTGGGAATTCAAACTACTCAGAGGCAATGGAGACACACTTGAGCCAAAAAGCCAACAATGGTGAAATTGTTGGCAATCACATAAAACGGAAGGTTTAGAAACTAATATGTTTCACTGTAAATCAGAAGCGTTATGAAATATGGGATGAAGACTAATGTATCAGTTGAAGTATACCAACAGTTTTAACCACATCTACTGGATCTTGTGTGGATTGTTGTACAGCTCGTGTAATGGATTTGCATTCATAGTTGTACCTTGACAGCATTTGTGAACCTGGAGCAGAAGGTGTGGAAGATGCTGAAACAGTCGTCCAGCCTGAAAGTGTCTCTGTCCTCGCAGAAAAAGTCGATCAGCTCGCTGCCTTCCCTCTTTAGCTGTTGCCGACTGCCACGGAGTGAGCAGAGAGATGATGTGGCATGCTGAGACAAACATAATAGGCACAAAATTATTTTTTAAACTACACACTTATTTAAAGATTATATAAAACTAAAATACTGTTATGTGTGTTACCTGCAGAAAGCTGTCCAGTTGCTGCAGCAGCTCTGTGTCTCTCTGGATGCTCTCCTCCACTGAGTGTGTGCGAGATGTCAGCAAATGCAGCTCAGCATCCAATGTTTCCAATGAGATCCTACCAAAGGAAGGAAAACAAATCCATGTAGCCTCATTTCTGCTTTGGTTTCATTCATTTTGTGTCTGGTGTAATTTAAGTATCAAATGAAGGACTGAAAAGAAACCAGCAGGGGGCGGTGTTCACTCAGATTCTGTAGAGATGTAATAAAATGATGGAAAGAAGGAGTATAATAAATAAATCCCCACCAAACAGGTTGATGGAGAAATGTAGTGGTGTATGTGGACAACTGTAGTATTTAATATGTGAATAATATGAAGTGATGTCTGACCTGGCTGCAGCCTGGATGTGACTCAGCTTGAGAGGAAACTCCAAGAGCTTCTCATCTTTTTTATGGGCTTCCTATAGAAAAACAAAAAAACAAAACATGAGACCCCCTCTTTCCAGCTACCTCCTCTTGCTCATTTTGGTGGTACAGAGGTGCTCTCAATCCACATAAAGAGACCCATTCTCTGTCCCAGGGTCCCCTTCTGGTAGACATTGCATGAAATCACCTTAAAGACATAATCTCACCAGCATGTTTAGGCCTTCTACCAGTAGGACTTGCCTGCAGCTCTATTCTGAGCCCCTCCTGAACTACTGAGCATCTCACTCTCTGAAGCTGAACCAACAACTTGTCAGAATAAACTAATTTCCACCTGTTGTATCTGCAATTTTATTCTGAGGGTTCAAATTTATATCAACTAGTTACTCAACAGCTTCCCCTTCAGCTTCAGGTCTCTCTTCACCACTCAAACCATTAAGACGTGGATCTGCTAATTTTCATTGTAACCACTTCACACTGAGCTTCAAACTCTCTCAAACTGTCTCAAGAGCTGATTTCATTAATAGATTAATCAAAAAAAGGATTGTATCATCTGCAAAAAGGAGAGACGTGTTTCTGAGACCACCAGATCTGAAAGAGTCTGTACAAAACCAGCAGTGGCGGAGTCCACCACTCTCCAGGAATAAGTATGACTTATTGACTGTAATGTGAACCAAGCTCTGGTTGCAGTTGTCCAGGTACCAAGTAGCCTGTAACAATGGCAAACACCCAAAGCAACACCAGGATGACAACCACATCATAGCATAGATCTTCCCTGGAAACTCTAAAGGTGTGATTCCCCATAAAAATAGGGTCTTTAGGGTCTTCCTCCCTAAAAAAAAGAAAGAAAGAGGGACCACATCTCCAGCCTACCCATTCGGAAGTAGTGTCCCTGACCTCCTGCCAATGAGTGCCAACCAGCACAGCCGACTACATCCAGAACCTTGATCAAATTCAGATGAATCTCATTCACCAATGGTGCCTGACAACCAAAGAGCACTTTAACTGTTTTTGTGACTTCAGCCACACTGGCGTATGTGCAAAAATGAAATGAACAATGATGTTACTCACCAGAGCGACAAAGTGCAGCAGGTTCATGCCTGGTTTGTTAGCTTTGGTGTCAGCCAGAGACAGGAGGGACGACAGCTTGAAGCCTACTGCGGTTCCTGCATAACCTCCCTGCAACGCACATAGCACAGAAATTAAACTCATAGTGGTAAACATTCAAACACTTGAACAACAGAATCTGAAGCTATAAAACTACATTTCCCACAAAGCAGTTGGTCTCCATAGTCTACCTGATAAGAGAGAGTAGAGACAGCAAGTCTCCAGTTTGACTGTACACCTAACATGTATCGCCCAATTATCAGCTCATTCTGTTAAACATTTATCAATTAAATGAACATAAATACACTTTTTCTGCAATCATTGTGTCATGACAGTCAAATGAGCTCATGCATTCAGACCCTGAGATTTTAAATGACAGATACTAAGATTGTGTAAATAAGCTAACACTAAAATACAACTTCTGCTCAAACTAGCAAACTAAACCGTCAGAAATAAAAGTAGTACTTCAACAGCAGAGTGACTGGCTGTGATTAAAACTGCAGATCAACCTCCGAACAATTTAACACAGACAAACATTTTTAAATGTGCTCTGCTGTGTGAAAAATGACCACACGCCATCTGCTTGAAACCACTTCTCCTCTTGGAATAAGTCAAGGCCTCATAACCACTCCCACTTCCTGTTTCTGAAAAACACCCAAATCTTTTCCTGTATTGCATCAGTATTAGAGAAACTCACACAGTCACTGACACTGAGAGGAGAAATGGCACAGAAAGGAGTTCAGCTGGACCGAGAAACCTTCTCTTGTTCCATCTGTTTGGATCTACTGAAGGATCCGGTGACTACAGCCTGTGGACACAGCTACTGCAGGAACTGTATTAAAAGTTTCTGGGATGAAGAGGACAGGAAGGGAATCCACAGCTGCCCTCAGTGTAGGAAGACTTTCACACCGAGGCCTGTCCTGGAGAAAAACACCATGTTAGCAGCTTTAGTGGAGCAGCTGAAGAAGACTGGACTCCAAGCTGCTCCAGCTGATCACTGCTATGCTGGACCTGAAGATGTGGCCTGTGATGTCTGCACTGGGAGGAAGCTGAAAGCCATCAAGTCCTGTCTGGTGGCCCCTCCAAGAAGCTCCAGGAGAACATCTGCTCTCGTCATGATGAGGTGATGAAGATTTTCTGTCGTACTGATCAGCAGAGTATCTGTTATCTCTGCACGATGGATGAACATAAAGGCCATGAAACAGTCCCAGCTGCAGCAGAAAGGACTGAGAAGCAGAAGGAGCTCGAGGTGAGACGACTAAACATCCAGCAGAGAATCCAGGAGCGAGAGAAAGATGTGAAGCTGCTTCAACAGGAGGTGGAGGTCATCAATGGCTCTGCTGATAAAGCAGTGGAGGACAGTGAGAAGATGTTCACTGAGCTGATCCGTCTCCTCCAGAAAAGAAGCTCTGATGTGAAGCAGCAGGTCAGATCCCAGCAGGAAACTGAAGTGAGTCGAGTCAAAGAGCTTCAGGAGAAGCTGGAGCAGGAGATCGCTGAGCTGAAGAGGAAAGACGGCGAGCTGGAGCAGCTCTCACACACAGAGGATCACAACCAGTTTCTACACAACTACCCCTCACTGTCAGCACTCAGTGAGTCTACACACTCATCCAGCATCAATATTCGTCCTCTGAGCTACTTTGAGGATGTGACAGCAGCTGTGTCAGAGACCAGAGATAAACTACAGGACATTCTGAGAGAGGAATGGACAAACATCTCACTGACAGCCACTGAAGAGGATGTTTTACTGTCACCAGCAGAGCCAAAGACCAGAGCTGGATTCTTAAAATATTCACATGAAATCACACTGGATCCAAACACAGCATACACACATCTGTTATTATCTGAGGGGAACAGAAAAGTAACATCTATGAAGCAACAACAGTCTTATTTTGATCATCCAGACAGATTCACTGGATGGGAAGAGGTCCTGAGTAGAGAGAGTCTGACTGGACGTTGTTACTGGGAGGAGGAGTTTATGTAGCAGTCGCATACAAGAATATCAGCAGAGCAGGGTTTGGCAATGAATGTTTTTTTGGATATAATGAAAAATCTTGGGCATTAGATTGTGACACAAACAGTTATACATTTCGGCACAACAATATCCCAACTGTCCTCTCAGGTCCTCGGTCCTCCAGAGTAGGAGTGTACCTGGATCACAGAGCAGGTATTCTGTCTTTCTACAGCGTCTCTGAAACCATGACTCTCCTCCACAGAGTCCAGACCACATTCACTCAGCCGCTCTATGCTGGACTTTTATCTTTTGAGGGCGTCTCTGCAGAATTCATTAAACTGAAATAAATGTCACTGAGGGACAGTTGATTAAAATGTGATTTAGTTTTGACTTTCCTTTGGTCTCCATCATTGTTAATCAGACCACATTGTCACTAATGCCCACTTTGTTGCCTCTGACATGGGATCCCTCTCTACACTAGTCCATTTACATTTACATGCTTCCCTTAGGCAGTATTATTAGAGTGGATAGCATGTGGGCATATTCTCATTATTATGCAGTGAAATGTTGATTTACTTACAAAACAATGTTGGTTAAAATGTCTGTTTTAGTTTGCAGTTTCTTTGGTCTCCACATTTTTGCAGAGCACTCATCGTTGTGCAGTTTCCTGTCAGTCACACTTTACAGATACTATTTTGATATCTTATCATTTATTGTCTAATTAATAACTGACTTTGTTTGAACAAAGACAATTTTCATTACATTTACATATATTTGTTGTTGTTGAAAATAATCAGTTCAAGAACAGCTTGCTTGGTTTTTTACATTGATAAATGCAGCTTTTTATGCTAATTAATGAATTTGCAGTTATTTGGGATCTAATTTTCTTTCACCTTTAATTATACCTACATATACATACAGCATACTCTGATTTTATTAATTAATGTGTAGCTGTGTTGGTCATATCGTTATTGCCATGTCGTTCAAAATTAATAACTTGATTTAAATATCCTCTTTGGAGGCTGCTTATTTAGTGCACCAACCTGTTTTATGCATAAAATTTTGTTTAGATCCACAATTTGAACTTTTACTCAGATTCATAAATAGTTTTTGTCTGATTTTCTTTCATCATTTTCCAGTCACTGTTACATTTTGCACGAGTCTGATTTCTGCATCTGTTCACCAATGAATGCATGTCATTGGTCCACACTGTGTATAAGACAACCACAGTTATGAATTAAAAACAAATCATTTTGAAATTTAAAACCTTTAGAAGACATATATTATTTCCAATCAATTTGTGAGTGATAAATTGTTCAGTGATACCCTGACTGTAATTAAATGATGGATTTAGCCACCATGCTGTCACGCATGGTTTTGGCCGCCATCATGTCAGTTTTTAAAACAAGAGCCTATATTTGGATGATAACTTGAAGTCTAAGGCTACGTTCACACTGCAGGCGAAAGCACATCAAATCCGACTTTTCTGACCCTCTGCGACCCATATCCGATCATGGTATGACAGTGTGAACGGCACAAATCTAATATTTTCAAATCCGATCTGGTCACTTTCGTATGTGGTACTGAATCCGATACATATCTGATGTTCTAGAAAGCGACTGCTGTTTGAACGGTCATGTCGCATTAAATCAGTCTTTTACGTCACTGACACAAGACAGACGCCGATTATCAGCGCCGGAGAAGACATCGCGAACGCTTCCTGGCCATCCAGAGAAACTGTTGGGAAGACAACGTTGGAGAACGTGAACATTTTATTTGTACTGTATAATCTGCAGATTCTGACAGAAATCTGCAACTTCCTTTGAAGCACCGCTCCCCTAAAACAGCAATAAGGATAATTATTAGGCCATAGTAAATAACAAAATAACTTTAGAATTTAAAGCAAAATTGGGAAACGTAAAGTCTGAAACAAGTCTTTATATTAACGGCCAACAGTCAAACAATACTGTTCAGTCTGGGTGTAAACAGAGCGCGTTGTGTGTGACGTCTTCTTTTGCACATGCGGGCCACTTTGAGGGTTCACACTAGAGCGCGTTTGCTGTCAGATTTTATCTGCAGTGTGAA